GGCTCTGGCCCCGCTCCCGGCCGCCCTCCCTGCCCCTTCTCCCGGGTATAACGCGCCCTGGCACTGCGAGCGGGCGATGGGGCGACTTGGAGCTCGGGAATCCCGCTGCTGCCCTGCCTGTGTGTTGCACGCGTTTCACCTGTGTGCCCTGTTCCTCGTTTTCTCCGTTCCAGAGCCACTCAGTACACATGCATGTTGCTTAGCTATCTAATAGAGCATAAGGCTGATAAGGAGAAGCTGGTAATGAAACTGAAGCAGTTGGAATCTAGCATGAGCTCTGGCCGGAAAAGTAAGTACCTGGTGCCTGGAGGTAAAAGTCCTCCCTCACTTGCTCCTTCCAGCAGAACAGCTCCTGGCCTTGCTCCTTCTGTAGTTCACTTACCTTCAGCCACAAAACCTCTTTTAGTACATTCACAAAATTGTCAACAGACCTTACCTCTGCCTTGGCTTGCCAGGCTGGATAGGGCCAAAATCGACATGTATTTCTTTCTTGGCCTCCTCTCTGGTTAGGCAATCTGAATTCTTGCTGGGAGAACTAGAGATGGAGTTGTCATCTCTGTGCAAGGACAGGCCACGGAGTTCCCATGCAAGGCTGGCTGACTGCGCTCTCCTTAGTTGAGATGGCCTAACATTAAAAATCATCAGCCTAACAAAATCACCTCTAAGGCACCATCTTTCATTATGGCTTCTTGTATCCTACTCATATATTAATTTTCTTTAGCATTTATACTCTACTAAATCATTCACCCTTCCTTACTTTTCTCCTAGTCTAACCATTTGCATCCCTTCATTCTGTGTGATAATTGCATTATGGTTATGCTGTTGCTGTGCTTGTATTGCCTGCGTTTGGGTTGATCTTACACCTACTTATCAATTCTTCAATCCTGAAACAACTACAATATATGAGGCAAATATTCTAATTTGATGTTTTACCATGGATTCCTTTTAGTATTCTAGTGAGCTCCAGAGTATGGCCATTTCCAGCAGAGGGGCAGCTGGTTTATGAGCCATAATTCTCTTGCTTTTACTAAACAAATCACTAATAGACATCAGGCCTAAATTGAGGACTGAGTTTGGGTGCTGCCAACATCTGTCACCATGACAGTGTGACTGAAGATGAAAAGTATTTGGTGGAATATTGTATTAGTGTTCAGGAGATGAAACCTAAAACTGCGCAGCAGGTTGGAATCAGGCTTCCTGGATTTTATAGCTTGAAATGGAATATACTGTTCCCATTGCAGGGAACTATGTGTACCTCTGACAAATTCATGGCTGAGGGGCTTGGGTCTTAGTGTGTTCAGCACATGACCCACCAGCCTTCAGAGGAGCTTAGAGAAGATGCAGCTCATGGTAGCAGTGGGGTTAGTGCAGTACCATCTCCTGTCCACAGTGTTTGGTGAAATCCAGTGTGGCACACAGCTGAAACTGGAGGCTCTGTGTCACTTTTTGGCTGACACAGGGTGGTTGAGAGCACGGGGGAGACTGGTCCAGGGGGCACCCAGGCGCTGGGAACAGGGTGGCAGGAGGAGGCTGCAAGCCTTGGCTAACAACAAAATTTGTGTGTAGGCCGTGGGCTGGTGCGGGACAGAACTCAGATACTTACACCCTTTTTGTCACTAACACGAGCTCCTCACGCTGTGGGAAGAGAATATTTAAGCACAGAGGTGCCCAAAGCCCGCCCAGCTTTCCAGAAGCAGACGTGGCGGTGGCACGCCGCGTTGTCCCGCGCGGGGCAGGGGTCGGGCCGCGCTAACCTCTGCGGGGTTCCTTGCAGTGTTCAGACTGGGCAACACGGTGCACGCCTTGGTGGCAGCCAGGAGAAGTACCCGGCTGCCAGACGCGGTTCCTCGCCTCTGCCTCACGGCCGCCAACCTGAGCCGTGCCCTGTACCTGGTGTGTGATGCGCTCCTGTGGTCCAGGAGCGTGGGGCTCCAGCCAGACATCGACAAGCTGAAGTGGCGGAACCGTGCCACTAAGTGCTACTACTTCTCACTCCTGATGAATCTAGCCAGGGACTGGTATGAGATCTGCTGGAGGCTGGAGCAAGCTGTACAGGAAGAAAAGGCGAAGGAGAATTCCTTCTGGGACGGACACTACCAGGAACTAAGCGGTGTGAAGTGTGATGGTTTGCTCGGTTTTCTCCTCCTGCTGCTTCAGACACTGAAGAGACATCCTCCTTTGCTGCTGGACTTGGTGAAGAATCTCTGCGATCTCTCAGGTCCTTTGGATACCTTAGGGATCTACAAGACCAACCCAGGAGTGATTGGTTTCTGTGGCATCCTCTCCTCCCTGGTGGGGATCCTCACGTTAGCAAGCCCACATCTGAAGCTGAAACAGTGACATAAAAGTGTGCAGCGAGCCCACAGCCTTGATCCTCTGATAGGTTTTGATCCTCCATATTGCACTGTCAAAATCAACATGTCTCACAGTAACCTCAAGATTAATTTTGTCCTCTGAATAAGTGAATTCTGCCCTTTTTCCTTCCCTGTGTCTTTACAGATCGGTGTGGTGCTATGACACATGCCCTGGTGGAGTGGAGATGGGGGAAGGCAGAGCAGTATTTCACAAACAGAAACAGGACTTGGAACATTAAGGAAATATTGATGTTCCTGTATTTTAATACAGGGTTGGGAAATTGCTGCATAGACAACTGTAATAAGTATATGACTCATAACTAATTGTGTTTACACTGGAAAGCTGGATTTCACCCATCAAAGATTCCAGCAGCCAGGTTTTTCTATAGTGGGCTCAGGCAAGTTGGGAGCTGTGGTTAAAATGGCCTGAAGTCAAGTCCAAGCATTATGATGGGTTTGGGTTGGTCGATCCTGCTATCTGTAGGCAGTGGTTTGAATGCAGTGTGGTGGTAACTGAGGAGTGGTATGATCTGATCTTCCAATGACACGCAGTAGTGATGCTGGATCTATAGTCTGGTGAGTGCCAACCTGTGTCCCAGGAAATCAGCACTTTCTTCTCTTCCTCCAATGTGAGCCGTGGCCACCGACTCTTGACTCCTCCAGCAGGCCATGGCTGAGGGTTTTGGGGAGGACACCGTGGGGGAGAAGCCTTCCTGAGTGCTGCTGATGCTGTGATTTGAAGGGAATGGGGCTTCCAAATCTAGAACCACTCACATGCACTCGGCTTCCCATTGCACACACACCTTAACACCCAGACCCCTGTGATTCCAAGTGCAATAATTTCTCATTAATCATACTGTGATGAGGAGCTTGTTTTGCTGTTTTAATTTTAAATTAAAAAAAAAAAAAAAACAAAACACAACGACAACAAAAAAAAAAAGTATAATGTGGAGCTTTGGTACCTGCCTGGCTCAGAGGTGGTTGAGTCAGAAAAACTACCAGGGTGTGGTTCTAGTTATGCAAGCTCCTGGAGGGGAGGAAATGGAGTTGGTTGTGATAATACCAGAATCCCCCATGAGAAGAAGAGTTTATTACTGGATTTGGCCATTCATGGCTTCGATTTTCCTGTCCAGTCCTTCCCATCCTCCCCTCTCACAACTGCAAGATTCTTGTGTGTTCCCTTGCTGGCTGAATGGGTTCTACCATTTGAAAATGCCTTGTGTTTGCCCTGCGACTGCATTGTTGCTCATCTCCTACCTCTCTGGGAACAATTGCCCCCAGGTTAAAGCAGAAACTCTGTGTCCAGATACCTAACATGGTGTGCAGTTTATGTTGATCGTGACTTTGCAGAATACCAATTCTGACACCATCTGAAAAATTTGCACATTTATAGGTGGCAAAATTATTATTTATCTTCATCAGGGTGTGTTCTGCTAGTTTCTGGTACAAGGACTCCTTATTTAATCTGTCAGGAGATGTGAACAGAGACTAGTCTAACCTGGAGCAGGGTACCCTCTTATTATTCCTCATGCTGTCTGAAAACAGAAATTAAAAGGTGCTGTTCTCCTTTATTAAAAGCCAAAGGCTGTGGAATTGAGTAGGAGAAGTAAAGCAGTGCCCCAGTTTACCTTAAGCCATTGTGGCAGAGCTTGGAATTAGTTCCAGTTTGAATCTGAAGTGTTAGCCTGCCAAAGCAGTGTTTGAAACGAGAGGTTGCTGGGCAGGGTAATTAAGTGTGCTTGAAGACCAAATGGTCCTGCAGCAGCTCTTCTTTTTAATATGGAAATTAATGCTATTAATAGTAGAGGGTACTGGCAGTCCAGACCATAATGGAGCATTAAGTGTGGGGTATGTTGTCTTCAAGGGCTTCCTCTTCCTTTTAACAATGGAGAGTTTTTGTTCCTGTACTCCCTTTGCCTCTGAGCTCCTGGCAACGTGGAGCCCATCCCTCCCTTGTCAGATCTGATCATTATCCCAGCGTGTAGCAACCTCTGTAAGGAAAGAAGAGGAGTCTTGAGCTGGTAGCAGAGGTGTGGGCACCTTTTGTCTACAGAACTTGATCTTCTTGCAAAAAAAAATGCACTTTGAATGCCTCTCAGGGGGAGCACTTGGATACAAAATCCTTCTTTAACTCGTTTGCAAACTGCTTTCTCTTTGTCTGTCACACTTGGTCGGTAAAGGGGAATGGGCTGATGCAGTGATGTGGTCCCTAGCCAGCTGCACCTCCCTGTGCCCTGCGGAGGGACCAGGGGGGTTCCCTTGTGCCAGGCAAAGGCTGTAAAGCCAGGAGCCAGGCTTTGACGTGTCTCCTGACGTGGAATAACAAGTACAGACTTCATGGGGGAGATGGGACAGCGAGTGTTCAGCCTGTCTCAGCCTTACCTGTGCTATTCTACACGATGGGGGTTGGAATATATGGGAGTAACTTTTTACTGGATGTTAAGCACTAATACTTGCCTTCTGCTCTGCAGCTGGAGGTGAGCAATTTCATGTACCTTAGTGTAATGTGACAAGCCATAGAGCCACAATGAGATGGAGAAAATTGTTTTAGTGCCTTGTTTTTGTATCTGTTTCTACTACAGCAGTTGGAATAAGGACAGCTGTTGGAACATGAGCAATAAATGGAGATGAGTGTGACAGCGTGTCTGTGTGTGTAATTTAGACGGTGGTGTGAAGAGATGCTGAAGGAGGAATCTGCCCTCCCATCTCTGAATTTTATGAAGGATGATGCTGTTAAAGAGAGGTTGCCGAGGCTTGTGCTTGGGTAATAGAGCTGTCCTTTTGCAGTAGCCAGGTGGCAGCCAGATTCATCAGACTGGTCATTTCAGTTGCCAAAACATGAAGTACCTACGTGAGTACCAGGTAAAACTGATCTGTGTAACATCTCCAGCTGAGATGGGGCAGGATGGAGGGAGGATAACCATTAAAAACAAGCTCACTGTTAGCTCCTATCCCCTGCAGTAAGAGTTTTGCAAACTGGGAAGCTCCAAAATGTCAGTTCCTGAGCAATGTATAAAGCATTGCATTCAGCAGTGATTTAGCAAGAGTTTCCTTCTGAATTACTGGTCTCATACACATTCCGTAATGGAAACAGTTACCAGGAGAGTGGTTTGTGTGAGAGCTGCAAAGTAATCTGCTGTCCTGCTTACAGGCAAGGCCTTCCTGATGTTTATACCATGCTTGGCATGACAGTTCGAGAAATATATGAGCCGTTCAGGACTCTGAGGGGAGCAGCAAGAACAATCAAAGGTCTAAAAACCAACATCTCCAGGAAGGGACCAAATGAACTGGTTCTGTAGAGGAAAGGTGACTGAGTGAGGGTGTGAAAAGTCTTCAAGTGTCTAAAAGGTTGTCTGCCAAGAGGAGGGGAATGAATCAGTCTCTGAGTCCATCCAGGAGTTTAACACATTTATGTCACAACAAAGGAGAATAAAATCACACTGTTTTTTTGCAAATAAAAGTAAGTTGAATAAAAGACTAAATGGATTGCCAAGGAAGACAGTCCTTAAAAACTGGACAGATATCTTCCAGCAGTGGTTTAGGAGGTGCTGATCCTGCCACAGGGGATGGAAATGAATTAGTTACCTCTCCAGCCCCCCCCTAGACCTAAGTGTAAAGATGTCTTGCAGGTCTTTGGGGATCTGGCTCACCCCCTCACCGTGGTATGTTCATGGGTATGGAGCAGACTCCAGAGACAAGGGTGTAAAACTGCTTCCCCATGCCCAGCTGATCTGGTGAGTTCTAAACATTGCCTGCAGAACACAGACAGGATTTCTGGTGCAGGGGGGTGGAGCAGTGGTACCTTTGCACTGCAGAGCCTGGGCTGGCACAGCCTTTGCCCCAGAGGAAGGGGAGGGCATGAGCAAGGCATTAGTAGGGCAAAGGCTCTGCTGTCTGTTGATCCAACTCCAGCCAAGGCAGGGAGAAGGTTGGCATGCCCCCTGCTCTTTTAGCAAGGCCAGAGGGGCTGGAAAAAGTCTCGTTGCCAAGAGAGCAAACTTTTGAGCAGGCTGCTGCCCTTTGTCCCGCTGTCTGGGGAGCAGCGACTCACCCCAGCACCGAGCTGGAGGCAGCCCAGGACATTCACATGCCTCTACCCAGCAAGGCAGACCTGTGAGCTGTGCAGAGCCCTGCTGGGAAGCAAACTCTGGGCTCCTCAGGAGGGTTTTCCTCCCGTGCGTGGCTTTCCCACTTCCCTGGGATGTCTCCCACCCGATGCACGCCAGGAGCAGGGAGCTGTGGAGCAGTGTTGGGCGCACACCTCTGTGTCCTGTGCAGGGCTGCTGGGCAGCTGAGGGTGTTCGAGGACTTGGCTCTACTGCCTGAGGCTCCCCTGATGCCGAGCCACAGGCTGAAGGTCTCCCTGCCTCCTGCCAAGTGCTCCAGGAGACACAGCAGCCCTGGGGCAGCAGCCTGCCTGGTCACTCGCCTGCACTGATCCCCTCGGTTATTGCTTTGTCCTCTGGCATTTGTCCTCTTTCCATGCTGCCCTTGTCTCCTCGGTGTGGCTTGTCCTTGACCTCTATGGTCAATGACCAAAACTTATCACAGATAGCTCCATGCAGGTGGTGTTTTCTTTCTTTCCCATCAATACCACAAAGGGATTTTATAATAATGATGTGAGTCAGAAGAACACCTCGTGTGCACCAAGGCTGGCTGGCCACAGAAGAGCAGCAGTAGTGAAAGTGCTGCCAGCAGGTCAAGAGCAGTTGTTCCTCTCTATGAAGCACTTGGGAGGCCATGTTTGGGAAAGTGTGTCCTGTTTTGGCCCCACCAGCAGAGGAGAGATCTTGACTAGAGTCCAGCAGAGGATCACTGAGAGGGTAAGATGTTTAGGGGCATTGAGCACAGGCCATGCCAGCACAGACTGGAGCACAGACCCTCCTTAGAGGTGCACAGAGCAATGATTAGAGATGGCAGGCACAAACTGTAACACAGGAAATTCTAGCTGTTCGTAAGAGAAAAATTGTTTGCCAAGAATATGGT